CACCACACACACCCCACGCACACACACCAGACACACACACCACACACACACCACACAAACACCACACACACACCACACACACACGCACCACACACACCACACACACACACCACACGCACCACACACACACCACACACACCACACACACACACACCCCACACACACACCCCACACACACACCACGCACACCACACACACACCACACACGCACACACCACACACACACCACACACACACCACACACACACACCACACACACACACACCACACACACCACACACACACACACACCACGCACACACACCACACACAGACCACACACACCACACACACCACACACACCACACACACACACACACCACACACACACACACACACCACACACACCACACACACCACACACACACCACACACACACCACACCACACACACCACACACCACACACACCAACCACACCACACACACACACCACACACACCACACACACCACACACACACACCACACACACCACACACACCACACACACACACACCACACACACCACACACCAACACCACGCGCGCCACACACACACACACCACACACACACACCACACACACACCACACACACCACACACACACCACACACACACACACCACACACACACACACGCACCACACACACCACACACACCACACACACCACACACACACAACACACACACACACACCACACGCACACACCACACACACCACACACACCACACACACCACACACACCACACACACCACACACACACCACACACACCACACACACCCACACACACACACACCACACACACACACACACCACACACACCACACACACCACACACACACACACGCCACAGACCCCACACACACACACCACACACACACCCCACACACACCCCACACACACCACACACACACCACACGCACACCACACACACACACCACACACATACACACCACCCACACACCTACCACACACCCACCACCCACACACCCACCACACACCCACCGCACACCCACAGCACACCCACCACACACCCACCACACACCCACCGCCCGCCACACACCACACACACCACACACCACACACACACACATCACACACCACACACACACACCACACACCACACACACCACACACACACCACACACACCACACACACCACGCACCACACACCACACACCACACACCACACACCACACACCACACACCACACACCACACACCACACACCGCACACCACACACCACACACCACACACCACACACCACACACCACACACCACACACCCCACACCCCACACCCCACACCCCACACCCCACACCCCACACCCCACTCCCCACACCCCACACCCCACACCCCACACCACGCACCACGCACCACGCACCACGCACCACACACCACACACCCCACACCCCACACCCCACACCCCACACCCCACACCCCACACCCCGCACCCCACTCCCCACACCCCACACCCCACACCCCACACCCCACACCCCACACCCCACACCACACACCACACATCACACACCACACACCACACACCACACACCACACACCACGCACCACGCACCACACACCACACACCACACACCACACACCAAACACCACACACCACACACCACATACACCACACACCACACACCACACACCACACACCACACACACCGAACACCACACACCACACACCACACACCCCACGCACCACACACACCACACACACACCACACACACCACACACACCACACACACCACACACACCACACACACCACACGCACCACACACACCACACACACCACACACACACACCACACACACCACACACACACCACACACGCACACACCACACACACCACACACACCACACACACCACACACACCACACACACACACACCACACACACCACACACACCACACACACCACACACACACCACACACACCACACACACCACACACACCACACACACACACACACCGCACAAACCACACACACCACACACACCACACACACACACCAAACACACCACACACACACACCACACACACACACACCACACACACACACACACACCACACACACCACACACCAACACCACGCGCGCCACAGACACACACCACACACCACACACCACACACACATTTACTCACCCAGGACAGTTTTTGGCGAGATCAAACTTCTTCAGACGACAGTGTTTTTGGCGAAGATTTGCAGTCAGCAACCAGGGACACTTCACAGTCTTGAATTCTAGCACAATGAGACGTGCCTCAGGTAGTTTTGTTATGCATGCGCTCCTTGTGAGGTGTGTTGGGACGGCCAGCTTTTCTTGACTGCTTCAGATTGAGACTGGCTGCGCCAGAGGAGATGACATCACCATCGAGGGTTCGCAGGTGCCAGTGAGGCGTGGGTCATAGGCATGGCAATGCCTGGCTTTTGTTCATCAATGTGCTGAGGTTTTGGCACATGGGGCCGATTCACTCCAAGAGTGCTACTTGGCGGAAGAGCGACTCAGAGAACCAGTTCCAAGGGTCACCTTGTCGGCTCAGGACTCGGTGATCCTGCTGCCTGAGAGCAAGGTTTGCTACACCGGTGATTTGCTTTTCATCAACATCGCGCCTGTAATGTGGAGCCCTGGCGTGAAAGGATGAATGGCGGCAGGCCTGAAGCGGTGTGACGCAGCTCTGGATGCCAAGGAGCGGGCCTGCTGTGACGTGGGTAAAGGCGCTGGACGACTTGGTGGAGGTTGGGCATCTTTTTTTTAGCAGCCAAGCACACATAGCACACACCGCACACACGCGCGCACATTATGCACACCTTGCAAATCATTACCCATTTTGACATCCGTGTTCCCGTGTCTTGTAGCGAGGTGCAGAACCCCATGCATGCCACATGTTGGCAGGCCACTGGTGAGGACTGGCTTTTCGTTCCGGGCCACGGGCCAGTCACGGACTTGCGGGGTGTGCGCCGGGTCCGTGAATTCTTCAGCTACCTGCATGAGGCGGGGAGACATGCGAAACAACGTCCTGCCCTTGCCCACTGCACAAGCTCAGCATGCAGAATTATCAGCGTGCATCATGCCACCAATGCAAGCGCAATGCCCGAGCGCAAATTGTTTGAGCGCGCTTCGGCCGCAGGCAGTGAGCCGGTGTCGGGATCTGGCAGACCCGGAGGCTGACGAGCCATGCGCTCTGCAAGTCTTTAATGGGATGCCGAAAGACCTCAAGGACAGGTAGATTCATTGTTGGTCTATGTCACGCACTTCACGCTTTTGCGTAGCAGAGCAAATGCATAAATTAATGACTGGCGAACTGCGATCTGGAGCTGGGCTTGTGAGGAGAGTTTTCATGAGCCTTACCGCATCATGATCGGCGCCGTGATTGAAAGAGCGGCTCGACGTGCCGGCGGTCCTGCAAAAGTGGACATCAAGTTCAAGGCGCGTCTCGTGTTGAGAAGTATCAAAGAGTTGGCGAAATGTTGGCGCAGCCATGGCGCCAGTTGCAGTGGATCGGCAAGATGAGCGGCCGCCTGAGAATGGGCCTGCCAGGACTGGACTGGCGGACTGGGGCATTCTGTTTCTTAAGGCGAGCACGAGCTGAGACAGAGCTTGGGGAGCGGCACAAGTCCCACCCAAGCCGAGCTGTGAGCCTGACTGCTCTCAGCCGGATGTGACGCTTCGAAAGGGGCGCATAGGGCGGGCTGTTCACGATCAAGCCTTAGATTAGTCCTTGCGTGAGATGCTAGCATTTTCTTTGTGGCGTCACGTTCAATGTGCCGGACTTAGGTTCTTGGACTACTTTGCCGGACCAGGCTGGGTGACTTGAATTGGCTTTCGAGGTGAACAGTCAGCATGGGGCTCTTTTCGGGCAGGGGTCGTCATCGAGAAGCAGCCCATTGTCGTGGGCTCTAGGCGGTTTCCGACGCGCGGAAGCCCGGCGCAGAGTTGTCGGTTTGTGCGGACCTACCTTCACAGTTGCTTCTCAATTTTGCAACCTGACATGGACATTTTGCAGGTTTCGGGGGCCTTGGAGTGAGATTCCGAGTGACGCAAGAAGGTACCCGTACTACCTGGATGACTTGGTCAACGGGGCCCCTGCCTCTTACGGATTGAGAGCACGGAGCCGACGACTTGGATCAGGCACTCCCGGGCTTCGTGCCGCGAGTGCGCATGGACCGGCCCGGGCCTCGTTTTGGGGGTAGCCCCCAAAGCCCGCTGCCCGGCTGTCACTGGCCAGGTTTGAGAAGGTCGGCGGCCGCGTCGAGGTGAATCCGCAGCTCTTTGAGACCTGCGTTGGCATCGTGGAGGCTGTGCCAGTTGCAGTCGCACAGTGCTGGTCGCACTGCGGCAAGGCTGTGGCCAAGCCTGGCCTGTGCGTGCTGATCTTCCTGCGCAGTCCCCAAGATGTGCGAATATTGTGAGTCAGGGGCGTACTTGCGAGCAGTCTATGCTTGTCTATGCTGGTCTATTTGCTTGGCCCAGTTTGCCCGTCAGCCTTAGCCTGTGGAATCATGGCGTTGCGTGTGCTGTTGGCCTCCTGCGCTGTTGCCTCGGCACGCTTCGCCTCATGGGAGAGCCATGGGGAGCTTGTGGATGAGGAGGAGCTCAAGCAGAAAGCCGTGACCCAGGACTTCCGAACGGTCAGAAACGTAGTGTTCGCTGTAGAACTTCCATTTCAGGCTCTCTCTCTCTCTCTCTCTCTCTCTCTCTCTCTCTCTCTCTCTCTCTCTTTGTGACCTCTCAGGAGATGATCGATGAGCTGAACTCAAAGGCCTCGACCTGGGCGGCCGGGGAGAACATTCGCTTCTCGGGCGCCACGCTTAGGGAGGCGAAGATCCTGATGGGCACCTTGCAGGACGGTGAGAGAAGAGATTCCAACAGCGCCCGACAAAGTGGGAAGGGAAAGAAAGGAGTTACGGACCACGGAGTTAGTGTTCTGAGACCTGAAACTGGAGAGATGCCAGAGCCGCTCGATGCTCGGAAGGACGTGGACAACACCACGGTTCTGCCCTATCGGGCGCCTGATGCGGTGGTGGACCTGCCTGAGGAGTTCGACTGGCGCAGCGATGCGCGCGCCCAGAACTGCCCCAGCCTCAAGGACTGCCTCGCTGCTTGATTGCGATGTTTTCGTGTTCAGCTTGAACATGAGAAAGCAGCACCGAAAGGCATGAAGCATGAAAGGAGATACAGAGTTCTGTCAGCCTGCGGCGTTTGGCTAACGAATCATTCTTTCTTCTTTCTTCTTTCTTCTTTCTTCTTTCTTCTTTCTTCTTTCTTCTTTCTTCTTTCTTCTTTCTTCTGTCTTCTTTCTTCTTTCTTCTTCTTCTTCTTCTTCTTCTTTCTTCTTTCTTCTTTCTTCTTTCTTCTTCTTCTTTCTTTCTTCTTTCTTCTTCTTCTTCTTTCTTCTGCTTCTTCTTCTTCTTCTTTCTTCTTTCTTCTTTCTTCTTTCTTCTTTCTTCTTTCTTCTTCTTTCTTCTGTCTTCTTTCTTCTTTCTTCTTCTTTCTTCTTTCTTCTTTCTTCTTTCTTCTTTCTTCTTTCTTCTTTCTTCTTCTTCTTCTTTCTTCTTCTTCTTTCTTCTTTCTTCTTTCTTCTTTCTTCTTTCTTCTTTCTTCTTTCTTCTTTCTTCTTTCTTCTTTCTTCTTTCTTCTTTCTTCTTTCTTCTTTCTTCTTCTTTCTTCTTTCTTCTGTCTTCTGTCTTCAGTTTTCTTCTTGCTTATTTGTTTCTTGTTTCCTCTTTCTTCTTTCTTCTGTATTCGGTTTTCTCTTCTCTTCCTGCTTCCTTCCTCTTCCTTTTTTCCTCTTTCCTCTTTCCTCTTTCTTCTGTTTTCTTTCTTTCTTTCTTTCTTTCTTTCTTTCTTTCTTTCTTTCTTTCTTTCTTTCTTTCTTTTTCTTCTTTCTTCTTTCCGCTTTCATTGTTTTCTGTTTTCTTGAACTTTAGCAAGGATTTAGTGACAGGCGCATCACTCTTGCAAGGTCAGGTGCAGATCTCGTGGCAAGCGCAGCACTTTCACGAGGTCAAGTACAAATTTCGTGAGAGGGGCGAGACCGTTCAGCCTCCATTTCTAGAGAGGTCGCAACCGGGGTAGCTTTCAGCCAGCCGGAGAAGTCAACACCCGCAGAGGGTTGCTCCCTTTTTCGTGGTTTCCATCCCCGCGCCGCGCGCATCTGATCTTTGCGCAGAGCTACCTCTCATTTGGTGTTCGCAAACACGGAAGTTCCTCTTAAGATTCCTTAGAGCGTTGGCGCTTCCTTTTTCACTTTGGGTTCCGCGAGTGCAACTCGAGGGTGTATCGTGACTATGACTTCTGCGCCAACCTCAGACGGAGCGCAGCAATGCGTGTGCTGAAACAAGGAGGTGCGGGATCAAGCCGATTGCGGATCTTGCTGGGCTTTTGGATCTGTTGAGGCCCCGACTTTGCAAAGCGCTTGAGAGCGATTTCCTTCCACGCGTTGAGGGTGAGAGCAAATCAATCCTCAGGCCATGACGGACCGCATTTGCATTGCCAGCAAGGGTGAGCAAAAGATTCACCTTTCTGCGGAAGATGTCACTTCGTGCTGCACTCTGGGCGACATGGGCTGCAATGGAGGCTGGGGAAGCTGTACTTGACGCCGCAAGATGTCTTGACAAGCCCCAGAGGAATCCCATCCACAGTTTATTCTTATTACAAGAACGCGGGCATCGTGGATGGTGGCAATTTCGGCGACAAGTCCATGTGCTACTTGGCCTGTTCGCGTTTTCTTAGGCAGACTTTCCCCGGTCCAGCTGAGGCTATTCCTACCAGCTGAAGCCTTGCGCACACCATAGCCAGTCGTCTCACTATCCCAACTGCACCGAGAGCGAACCAACCCCCAGCTGCGCTCGTCAGTGTGTGGACAACGGCCGCTCGTGGAGCGGATCGAAGCACTACGGCACCGGGGGCTACAGTGTGTGCCACATCGGCGGCAACTGCGCTCAGGCCATGCAGCAGGAGAAGGGAGAAAGAGAAAGGGGAGGAGTTGTCGGATCGATAGCAACTGAGTAGCATTTGGGAATTCAAAGCCTTTGAGCTCCGGCTCAACGTGCGGTGACCTCTTGGCTCTGGTCTTGTGAGAGGAAGGTTTTTGTGGCAACAGGAGATCTACCAGAACGGCCCCATCACAGGCATGTTCTTTGTACACCGGAGCTTTCTCTCCTATAAGTCAGGGGTCTACAAAGCCGGCTTGTTCTTCAAGGATCCTATGCTTGGCGGACATGCAATTAAGATCATCGGCTGGGGGACAGAGAATGGAACTCCCTATTGGCTGGTGGCAAACAGCTGGAATGCCGATTGGGGTGACCATGGCATCTTGGCCTGCATTCTGCTTCATGCTTTGTCATGGACACGGATAGATCCGGATCTCACATGCATTCCAAGAGGCCAAGTTGTGCGTGAAGCTCATTTGGGTGCTTTCCGAGGTTTCTTCAAGATCGAGCGTGGCACCAACCAGTGCCAGATCGAGAACCCCATCATCAACGGTGGTCCAGTGGCTGGCAAGCCCAAGCTCTCGGCAGTTGAGATGGTGGTGTAGAGTTGGAGCTTGAGCTGTGGAGAGCAATTTTGATGTAGACCTGCGGACAGGAACTCTTTAGAAACAGTTTCAGGGGTATCCCCGTTTTAATGTTTAGACGCATGATGGTGCTTGACCAGACAGCGGCATTCAAACCAGGTGCTTGCAGTTGGTGAGGAAGTGTCTTTTTGTTCTGATGGATGGACTTGAAAGTTCGCCGAACAGGCCGGGACTCTCGGAGATCGAGCAGCTGCACGAGGTGTCTTTGAGATCTTGGGGTTTGCGTTGCTTAGCAACGCGTCGCAGGCCTTCTATGGCCGCACTCGGAAATGCCCGCTGGTGCCTCCGGCACGGGAAAGGTCTTTCTTTCTTTCCCTTTTTTAGTCCTGCCAGGACTACCACATGCTGCACTCAGTTGTCCCCCATGAGCAGCAGAAGCGTGCGCTTCTTCCGCCACCGGCCGGGCCGCCCCCTTTTGAACACTGAGCCAAATGAGCTGTGTGCATCATGCTCATGGGCCTCGGGGCTCCTGCTGTTTCATGCTGGTGCTGTTGACCTCGGGAACCCAAGCAAACAGGTTGGAACGATTTTGCCGGCAAACACATATCACATGCCTAAACAGTTTTAAAGCATGCCTATTTGTCTTTCTTGCCTCACATGCCAGGCTGGACACTGCAAGGTGGTTCTATCCACAAATATCGCGGAGTCTTGGCACCTAGATTTGCATCTCTCGGATCTGACACTTAGCCAAGCTGGCATTGGAAGAATTCTTAAAGACTAATGTTGGTCGGACCATCTGCACATCTTTAGAAACCAGTTTCCTGGTGCAACCAACGGTGTGATGCCTTTGGCGGAATCCCCATGCTTAGGTCCTCCATCACAATCCCGGATGCCCGGCTCCTGGACAGAGACCGGGTGGCCACTTGACACGGGCAGAGGTCCGATATGTCCTGGACTTCGGCATCGTGCGGAAGATGGTCTTTGACGAAGAGCGGGCCATGCAGTGCGCCTGGCTCCAGTTTGGTTGCCACTTGCCAGCGGGACGCCGGGGCGCCGGCTGGGCTCGCACCTGGCCTTGTGAAACACGCCAGGAGCCTTTGCAACACCTGGAGCTCGCAGGCAACCTGCCGTCAGCGCCAGCCTGTCATGTTTCCAAGCGGAGCTGTCAACCTGGAGGGAAAGCTGTCAGGCCGTGGCCGCTGTGGGCGATTGCAGGATGGCGTGCGCTTCCAGGGCTGAGGCGGATTTGGGCATCAGAACCTGTGCAGGTAATTATTTATCTCTTCCCCCGCAATCACTACGATCGACTGCAGCCATACGCCTCTCCTGAGGCAGCTTAGCGCTTTCAGAATGATTGGCATGGGAGGAACCGAGTCGGCCGAAGTGTTCAGGTGCTTGGCGTTCCACTGGAGTCCATCTACCTCAAGAGCAGCTCAGAGTCAGTTTTGGTTGAACGTTCCACAAACCAATGACACCAAGCTGAGGGGTTTGCCTGAAGTTTGATCTTGCAAGTCTTTTGCAGGTCGAGTGTTGCTCCATCACCTGGGTTCCCCAGAGAAGCTTCTGAGTCAGCTCATCGACTCTCCGTGTTGCTGGCCGCGTTGCCAATCAAGCAACAAGCAAAGCACTGTGGTTGCCAGGCCGCAGCAGCGCATCGCTGCTGCGGCGCAGAACTTGAAGGACCTGGGCGCTTTGAAGGGAGACCAGGCGGTGTCGCCATCGTTCCCAACGGACTCAGAATTGCTTCTGAAAGATCTCGGACACCTTGCTTCTGATCTTGTGAAGTGCTTGGCATTTGTCAAGTCCCAGAGATACGACTGAGTTGGGATGCGACAGGATTTGTTTGCCTGGTCCCCAAGCTTGACTGTTTTGCATGTCCGGATGTTCTTTGGATTCAGGTTCCACAACTCCATTCTTTGCGCCCTTATTTCTAGCGTGGAGGTGGCGTCACTGGGCCGCATTGCGGTCTTCATGCCCACGACGTGGGCTGCCCAGACTCGAGTGCGTTCATGCATCGGGATTCACTGGACAACAAGTCATATGAGTCATATGCGAGTCATGCGAGTCTACAAGGCTGGAACTGTATCTTGGTCAGGATTCAGCTCACCAAGTTGGTAGTGCTCTCCTGGGCATTGGGCATCCCTGCGGATGGCATCGTCATTGCCGCCGCGCTCAGCACGCAGGCCAGGCCCATGTAATTGCCATGTCTTGCCTCTGCATTCTTATCCCCTTAAGTTCTCTTCTGGCAAGGACGTCTTCAAGATGGCGGCGCCTGCCAACTGCAGAAACTTGGAGGAGCTCTGAAGTTCAGTTCCCCAAGATGACTCAAGATGATCATGTTCGGTCTGTTCAGTTCAGGATTTCCCGGCGCACCTTGCGCACAATTACATCACCCGCTGCCGCTTCGATGCCGGACAGTTCTCCGAGCCCATCATGTGCGCCCGGACGCGCCCTGCTCGCACGATGCGACGCGCCTGGCCAGGTACCGGAACCTCTACAAGGAGTATCTGACGGTGCCGAAGACCCAGGCGCGAGACGCTCAGACGCATGCTCTGCACCGCACCGCACGCTTGGCCAGGCCCGGCAGTATCACCAGTGGCTGGATGAGAGCTGCGTCTCTGTGAGCCGTGGGGCTGGCGCTGTTTGGCCATTGAAGCACCCGAGCCCCGCCCAGCTTTCCACTTTGACTTCTTTTACTTTCCTCTTTACTTCTCCGCTTTTTTCCTGGTAGCTAGGCATGAGCCAGTTCGCCGCGCTGGTGGTGGAGCTGGCGGCCAAGCTGGGCGCTGCTGTGCCCAGCGCCAAGGCCATTCGGGGCGGACTTCGGACTTCGGGATCAGACGCCTCCGCTACGGGTCCTTTTTTGGCGCAACGGGTAAGCGCGCGGCTCATGTCTTGGGTCGCATTCAGGCAAGATTGGCACTGACAGGCATACCCAAAACCACAATGTCACAACCTGCTACAGTGTTATTGGTATCATTCACCTCATTTGTACCATGTATCAGCCGGATTCTTCCACATTAGGTGGGAGAAACCTGGGCGGCTGGTCCGAGTGACAGAAAAGGGCTCACACAAGGACGCGGCGATTGCCAGGCGCATCCGGCTCTGAAGATACTCACTGCTTTGAAGAGGCACGGGGCCTCTTGCATTGCGAAGTGTCTTTTTTTCCCTTCTACTTCTGCCTATGTTTTTCGTGATAGTCCTTTGTTCTTGGTATTCTCGTTTTGGGTACGCAAGAGTCATGACGCCCAGGTCACAGCAGCTTCCAGCAGAGGAAGTGGAGCGGCTCTTCACTCAGGAGCTGGGATGGGTCGGCTAAAGCCACACCCTGCCATTTGGGACGGGACCCCGGCCTTTGCAAACTTGCAAAACCATCATCAAGCTCCTGCGTATTGCTCCCCCTGGAAGGCTTTGAATAGGGCTGACCCTTGGATGTGGATTGCAAGATTGGCGGTCGACATTGAATAATTCAATGCCCAGCATGGACCATGCGGAGTTTGATGCCACACATGAAACTCTTTTTGCTTACATGCATCGAGCCTGCTGACTGGATTCATAGGACTACGACAGGCTGAAGTTTGCAATCGTCGGGGCATTCCAGCCGTCTTTCGTGCAAGGCCATTGTCGCTTGTTTCCTTTTTTTCTCTTCTTATTTTTTTTCGGCAATGCGTGTGGAATCTGCTCTTGGTATCCCTAGGCTGAAGCTGCTCTCACCGGCTGAGAGCGATGCTCAACTCACTTTGAGCCTCTTGAGGTGAGATCAATACGCAGAACAAGAACAAGGGCAAGATCAACAACTGCGGCTTTGATCCAATGAAGACTGGGAGGGATTCACTCTGTACTTGTTGCATACAGCATCTATTCCGAAAGGTTGTTCTCCCAAGAACCTTGCATGAATCAGACACCTTGACATGGGTTCTAACTCGCTACTGAACGTGTACGTGCACAAAATGTGTTTGTGTGTGTGTGTGTGTGTGTGCGTGCGTGCTGCCACTATTATATCCTTGTGATAGCGCAGCCACATTGGGCAGCAAGAAAGTCGCAGCCTTGCATCCTGTTGCGACAAATGGCGTTCGGAGTCATCAGAACAGTTGATGAAGGGATTGTCACGGTACTGGCAATCGTAGCCCTGCTCTTGGTTTGCAAGTTCAGGCGGAAGATACTGGTTCTCTTATTTGATGACGACCGTGTACACCTAGATACCCCGGCAATTTGCTGGAATGTGGCGACTTGCTGCCAGCATTGCGAAGGCAGCATGACCCGTTGGATTACTTGGTGCAGTTGCTGGGCTTCCTGCGGACTGCAACATAGAAACCTCGTTCGCGCATTGGGCCGTACCCTGGGAGTTGTTCCAATTGTTCTGGAGGTGAAGCATATTGCCGTGGGGGATGTGCCCACCGACACCAGTGGCAACTACTATTTGTCCTTTGAGATCAGCAACAATCCGCCTCTTACAACTGCCGTGGTGGACAATGCTGACCCAAACCTTGTCTCCTTTCCGGATCGTCTCATTCTAAAGATTCGACGATCCCGGCTGCAGGCTGATGTGCGCATTGTTTTGAAGGAATTGCACAGCATCGGCAGCGTGGATCTGTGTGAGGCTTACATCGCCCCCAAAGTCATCCTCTTGTGGGCCGAAGGATCACGGGGTTCTTCTGTCCGAGTGCAGATGCAGCCGTGTGAGCACCTTTTGACCTTCTCTCACTATGCTTTGCCTCCTTGGATCTTGCTTGAGGTCGGGGTGCCCGAGGATAACAATGAGTTCCGGGGAGGCGGGCCCCACATAGAAGGGGGGTTGCTGGAACCTCATACTGATTCGATGGAGTGGAGGGACAAGTACAAGCTGCTGGACACAAACAATTTTGAAACGGTGGACTTGGCAAGGATGCGGCCAGAGCTGATCAGCGTAAACCAGACCATGCGCCGCAGAAATCACCGCTCCCACTGTCTTTGCTGTTGGTGGCTCTTGGTCTCTGTTTATGTAGCTGTCCTGGGCATCTACTACACCACCTGCTTCCATGAGTACACGCGGATCTTGGCACTGCGTTATGCTGCGGAATCGCAGTGTCTCGTGCCCGACTCGATGGTCGAGAGCTTGATCACCAAGAGGGAGCACGGCAGTGTGTTCGTGGGTGCGAACCGATCCGTCCTCAAGGTCTGCACCTTTAACGATACAGACGTGGCGATGCTGACCCGCATTTTCAGTCAATTGTTGTATTCTTGTTGTTGAATAACTCGGTTGAATGATATGATATGAGACTAGGAACGTTTGCGAATCGGAACCACCAGGATGGAATGCAAGAAGGTTTGGGACGAGAACGGAGATCCTCCAGCACCCTGGTCAATCCGCATTCCATGGGTCTCCTTTGACTTCGCAGACATCAAGTGCTACCATTCCGCCACAAGGTCAACCGTTGACGAAGACAGGGTGCACTGGAAGGATGCGCGTTGGTGGTCCGAGTGGGGAGCCTGGAGAGATTCGGTGAGAGCAATTGTGCCTTTCTTTGCAGATTGTCGTGCTCACATCCACTGGAACAGAATTGCTTATGCATACCTAGCTTTCTCGCTACTGATCCTTTTTGCCTGGCTGGCGGTGCAGATCCAGGCATTTTGCCTCACGGAGTGGGAGTATGTGCAGACGGACAGAATGTGTTCGTGCTGGGAAGGGGAAGATCCCTCCCCACAACATCCTCGGATCGAAACAAGATCATCTCCAAGCGAACGAAGGGGGTACAAGCCGCTTACATGAACCATGGAGTCCAAGTCGGCCCTTTTTGAAAGCCAGGCTCGAAGAGGAGTCTGAGACGAAGTCTCCGACTTGCCGAGCCGCCGCATTTTTGGCGGCCTCCGATGCTCCTTGAAGAGGAGATGTGGCCCAAAGGTCAGCGAAAGCTGTTTCACCGGGCCTGGATCGACCAATTTCCTCGGCGAAATCGCCCTTGTGCGCAGTTAGAATATCCACTGCCGGAACGGGCTGTCAAGTCTCGCACGGTGGGGAGTCAGGCCACTGTGAAAATTCTTCAAATCGCCTCCAGGACCTGTCTGCTACAGTCGCCGCTCTGGCCGACTTTCGGAGTCTCCTTTCTGAATGTTTTGCTCGAAGCCGTCGGAATGTTGCCAGGATCAAGCCGGCGGAGATGGCCGACGTGAACAATCTCTGGGAGCCCCTCGGCTCGGCTCGGCCCCTCTCGGCGCGTGGTCCGAGTTTCCGAGGTTTTGCAGCAGTCTGGCGCCGACCAAGGACGTGAAGCTCAATGACACTGGCAAGGCAGGAAGAGAAGACCAAGAGGACCAAGAGGACCAAGAGGACCAAGAGGACCAAGAGGACCAAGAGGACCAAGAGGACCAAGACCAGTTTGAGTTTAGAATATGCTCAACACCTGCAGATGGCCTTCATCGAATGCGGCGATGATAGGCAGGTGAGGGTGCCTCCCAGCGATGTGGTGTGGCTGCCCAGCTGCTAGGGCTGTGGGGCCTCGTGGCCTTGTCTGTTATCTCTGATCCAACATACCCTTTGCACGAGGTGCGTCAGATGCCCGTGGTTGCACAGCTGCTTCATCAGCCGGGCAGCTGTTTTCTCCGGTATTCCCGTGTGAATGTGCAGTGAGGCTCATGCGGCAGCCGTGCAGGTTTCAGGCCCACTCTTTCCACGGGGGCGCCAGAGCGCTGATCTGTGCGCAGGTGTTGACAAGCCAGGGCATCCGGCCCGAAGCTGAGTCGCTGAGTGCGAGGAACCCCTCAGCCGACCTTTAAACACTTTGAGCACTTTGAGGCACGAAGCCTCCAAGATCGGCTCGCCGAATTTCTTGAACGGCTGGGGTGCTCATGCGAAGCCACCTCGACCTGTCCGTCCGACGTCCCGGACGCATGCCTTCGCTAATAAGGCATGAAGTGGCACGTCAACGGCATGCGCACCATGGGCTCACCGTACTGGCGGTCCAACATGGGCTACTGGTCAGAGCTACTTTCGACTGCCAGAACTTTATGTTGAACGCACCTGTTGCCCGAGATTGTGTGATGCAGGGTTGCCGTTTTCAGTGGATCAGAGTGGCCATGCAAATCTAAGGCTACATGTGCGAGATGCGGGGTGAGTTGAAATGCCACTGGGGTGCCCGGTTCCCATTAGGGGAAGCGACGCGACGCAAGACGCCTGAGCTCAGGTGTGCTCTTCGCTGTTGGGCCGGGAAGGCCCTGACCAAGTCGCATGGCTTTGGTTGGGAGTGCGGGCTCGACGTCGAGTTTGGTTTTGGAGGCCAACCGCGATCGCAAGCAGTGGGGCAAGCAGCAGCTCTCTCCCTCTCTCTCAGGTTCGCATCACTGGTCTCACGATCCTGCCTCCGCCGGGTTCCATGCCGGCTGCTAAGCGTTTGGATGCAGAGTGAGTCCATTTAGCCTGAAACATCATAGGAAGCTGCCAGCTTCTGTTGGCTTTCTCTTTAAGCGAAAATCGGGTCATA